GATTCATCGTATGCTATCGTAGCTAGCAGTTGAACCAATAGTATATTAATAAGTAGATAGGTATACTTTTTTAGTTTCATAACAATTAACTCTTGTTGTCTAAACTTTTTACTAAACAAACAAAAAAGGGCATAAAAATGAATATGTGCGTGAAATAAAACAATAAAAAATTTCAACAAATGAAAGAAATTTATTGTATACAGGTTTTAAATATCCTCGCACATTACACCTGCCTAACCAGCCATGTCATTATGATATTTAACATAGGGCATAAAGATCCTATAGATAAAAAGGACATTACTTAATGAAAAAACATTACTTTTTCACTCCAAATCATCCTATTCTTGTTTACAGTATAAGTAAGAAAACAGTATTTTTACAAACATCGGCTACAATTCCACAATTTCAAATCAACTTTTTTTTTAAGTCGCCTAGCGACGATTTTGGACGTTTGTTTAATTTTTTTTTTATCAAAAATTCAGTCGAATCATCGTAAGCTTAGCTTCTCAATTTTTTTCACCATCCTAAAAATTTGACTAGATTTAGTTTAATACAATAGTGTTGTGCCAATCACATTTTTTTGCCGCCAATTTTTACGATTCTCCTTTATTCGTTCGTGATATGAGTTCTGGAATAACGTATAAACATCACTTTTCTTACTGAGGAATTGAAATATATATATTTTATATAATTTATAATAAAAATAATTATGAGTTGCTTAAATTAAACTCGAAATCTAATCATCTGTTTATGACATAAACAATAATAATAAAAACTAAAGGAACAAAATAACAAAAATAAAGAGGCGAGTAAGGTATATTGAAAAAAAAAATATTTCATTAAAACTTGTACTCAATAATTAAATAACAATATTATAATTTGATCTTGTTAGCTCATTGCGCAGTTTATATAATATTATAAAAAAAACGTGAGCCATTCTCGATTCTTGAGGAAATAACAGTTTTATCTATCTTATACATTGGTCCATTACCTAACTGATTTGTTTGTAAATCACAAAAAGAATCCCAATCATTAATTTTGCAAAGAAAACATTCAAAGGTAAATGTCCCCAGCAGTGTGATGTAATATTTTTAAGCGTCAATTCAAAATAAATACATCGAGATAGCAAATACCTGACCTGCTACCATTTCAATTAATTTATAACATTATAGGTATCTCATATTTCTAAAATTAAATGCTTCTTGTTGTACATATTTTTTATAAAAAAAAACACGAATGTGGAACATTCGAGAACTGCGTCTAGCAAGACGTTAAAAAACTTCCATTCAATATTCTATACCTTTCCACGATAATGCTAAATGTCAATAATAATAAGTCAATTATTGTAATAATAGTACAATAATCATTAATGTTTTAAAATTAACCATCTAGAAGTACATACAAGATGTAAAAGGGAAAACAATTAGTGACGACATTAGGTGATTCTTACATTTATAGAAAAGTCGATTCTCAACTTTACACGGGTGGGCACAGTGTTCAAAATAGAGTACTAACTAAGTATAACATCTCCCGTATGATAGAACTACAAGGCGACACAGTGTATAGTTGGGAATCGACACGAAGTTAGGTACAGTCACACAAACAAACAACTTGTGTCCATAAAAATGCTTCGTAAACTTACATCCTGGCAATGTCTTTTACGAGAAGCCGCGCTCAACGTTTCAAATTCAAAAATCGAATTCTGCAATTCGAAAGTCGAATTAAGAAAGTGTCAAAGTGTTCGCATTTCGGTCGGATACGCGTACGAGAGCAGACGCATCGGACGCGAGCAGCGATGCCGCGGCCGCTTAGTACGATAATATTTAACGTTTTAATTAAAAATGCAACATTCCCTTCATTGTCTTTTGTTCCTGGACCAGTTGAGGACCGTTCAAGACTAACCTAACCCTTACGGAGAATTTATTACATTTACGAAAAAAAAATTAACAAGAAAAATATTAAAGAATTGCTACGGACTACCTATTTAATTGAAAAGTACGCTACAATATTAACTAAAATTCTTAAACTATGTGGAAAAATGATTGAACAATATACAATAAAAATGATTCACTAATAAACCAGTGACCTCTATCGACTAAAACTGGTGTTATCAAACAACATGGCTGACCGTTGGCATCGTGTGTACTCTGAATAAATGACATTAAGTAAGTTTGCATCGCTATTGAATGAGGTATTTGAATGGAGGCAGTTGTATTTTTGTAAATTAATATTTCTTTTTCGCTTTGGTGTATCATGTGTTTGACGACAACAGTCCCATTCTTGTTTTACTAAAAAAAATAATCAATGTAACGGAAATAAATATAAAACCGCCCCGTAGCCATACTGCGGTACGCTATCAGAGTTGGATCCTCGTTCGCCTCGCCTTGATTATTATTTTAAGTATTGTAGAGATCACTGTCAATAACATTTTTAAGTGTTAAGGCGGTGTATACCATTTGTACCGACCGAGCCAGTGCCTCCAGCACTCGGCTATTTTCTACTAGTCGCAACTCTCTTTAATCGGGAATAGAACCCCAAACACTTCGCACAAAAACAATGAATGTATAACATCTCAATATAATATGACAATTAATCATATATAAAGGTTATTTTATAAAATAAAGCCACTTAAAAATTAACTAACGTTACAAAATAAGATTAAACAACATAATTATTTGTTCCCGATGCAAAAAATAGTTATATTATTAATTAAAAAAAAATCTAATAACATTCTAAACGGAATGTTGATTATTATCTAAATTCTCTTTGCAAATTGTCCCATCCTATGTCTGTACAAACTTACACAAAATAACCTTTTTGTTTTAAGCTATCAATCAACAAATGTCAGGCATAACACACAGATTCGTGTACGTATTTTTGAGAAAAAAAAAGTTGTTCGATCTTTAAACATTTCAAATTTCGAAATGCGGTCTGGTAGGGATGTCAACACGACGATAAATAATCTAATATAATCTGTTTTCAATATACAAAAGTATTCATCACTCAGATAAATGCACATAACGTTTATAGATTAACTTTTTTTAAGATTAAATGCTAAAAAGACGTCGAAAATTATGCACAGAGAAACAAAAGTGAAAGACATGCTATCGACTAGTTTAAAATTTTGAATATAAAAATTTTTGTTTTTTTTTACCATTTGAGAGAGCTCGACATCTCGTCACGAGGGATATGTATTTGTTTTGGATTATGATTTCGAATATCACTTGTATATAATAAATTGTTTCGCTTCGGTCCGAGAAAGATATATTAGTTAATATAACAATATGTATGTCGAAATGTCGAGTGCACTCATGTACTTCTATTTTGCACATCACTCGTGGTCTCCGAAGAAAAATGTACGACATTAAATTTTAACTTGTATATAATATAATTATGTATATTTTAATTACATACATAATACAAAGACTTCTTAATTTCCATGAGGCGCACATGTACACATAACTTACAATAAGTATCGTATGATAATTTTATATCCAAATAGTTTTTACCTAAATTTAATTTTGGGAGAGCGTATACATTTTCATCTCGTACTTCCATAATAATATATTTTTGATTGAACACCAAAAAATTTCACAAATTTGAAGATATCATTTTTTTTTTGAGGATTTTTGGGCTAATTATAATTTTTAAAGTCGACAAGAATATAATAATGATTATCCACATTTTTGTATAGTCGATAAAACATTTAAAACTTGGACCATGAAAAATAAGAATATTATCTTCTTAAGATACAATAATAGTACATAAAATATATAAGTTCACTAGATGTATTTAATGTACGTACGTGTATATATGACGGGGCCCGGCGGTCCCCGCAGCTCGTCAATCGTGATCAAACCGCACTCGTAATACCTAAATATCACATTCAGTAATATGGAAATCCACGTGTTAGCTTAGACACAGTTAAAATTACTATTTTATACAAAATAATAATTGCACATAAGTCCGAACATAGCTTCGTGTAGGCGAAGCTCAGCCGACCGTTGAGACGCCATTCCCGTCTACAGCTAGTGCCCTGTACGACGTCGCGCGCGACACGACGGCGACACGACAGCGACACGACAACGACACGACGGCGACACGACGACGCGACGGCGACGACGCGACCAACAATACCACAACCGCACTACCCGCCAATAGCGCTAATAATTTCATTCAATATATTACCTATCTAATTATAAAAACACCGCACAAAATCTGCAATAGTTCACTTAAAAATCGATAACATTTACACTCATAGCTAGCTTTATAATTAATTTGTTACATTGTTTTTATTACTTAAAAATTATTTTAAATAGTTAATTTATAACGTTAACTTTTGGTTGTCTTTTACTTAAAACAAGGTCAAAATTTGAGGCTCTCTGGATTTGCGTGAATTTTGGACAACCCTAGCGCCGCTTGCAACGTGCAGTGTCGTTCTACCCTACAATGGTTTCGTACTCATTTGAATTTAGAAGATGAAATGATAGATTGTGCCTGATCGTCACGTAAGCGAGGAGTCACAGAGAACAGAAGACAGGTCAACAACTCGTGTACTACTGGACATGACAACGCGACTGCAAGTCACAACCGACGGCATCCGAATCTCTGTCACGGGACACTAAATACTATTATATTATTGTGATATTGCATTAGTAAAGCTGTGATATATTGAACTGGTTGTGACTTTTAGGTAACTATTGTGATATTTGGTGATAATGTGTCGATGTGGATACGTGTGTGTGAGGACTGTCCGGACTGACCGAGGAAGCGGAAACATAAAGAGGAGACACTACATACCGAGACAAGAGCCGGCGCGCGGAGCCTGCGACTAAGTTATTGTCACTACAACAGTATACACGGGTGACGCGAGTCTCGGACGACAAACCTCAGCGGGCCGTATTGCACTAGCGTGAGTCGGCGAGCGGGCGGGCCGCCCGGCGGAATGTACTTTACATATTATTATCACAAAGACTGAGGAGATCGGGGCGTCTAGCGCACTAGGCGCGGTCCGGGGGCGCGGCCGGCGGCGGCGGTGGCTCGGCCGGGGGCGCGGGCGGCGGCGTCGGCGTACCGTTGCGCGGCCGCAGCTTGTCCGCGCGCAGTCGCTGCACCGCCTCGCGCATCTCGGCCGCCAGCGCCTGGTCCGAGCTGTCTAGCCGGGGCCGGCGCGCGGGCGGCTCGTCGCCGTCACTGGTGGGCGCACGCCGAACCACCTCGCCACCAGGTGGCGCTGCTAGCCGCTGCAGTAGCGCGGGTCGTTCCAGGCTGGATCGTATGATGCCCTCCAGAAACGAGCCATTGGCTGGTGGTGGCGCTTCTTCGCGCAGTCGTCGCATCATGTGTGAGGCGTACAAGTCGGGAGCTGGTGGTGGTGGGAACCCAGTGCCAGGCCAATATGGATAGCCAGGCGGGTAGCCCGGAGCCTCCGGGCCGTTGAGACCGTTGGAGAACGGCTTCGTTGGCGGTTTCGGTGGCGGTGGCTTTGGTGGCTGTGGCTTAGCAGTATCTTGGGGTGGCTTGGGCTCACGCTTCCGTGGCCGCATAAGGTGTCGTTCCTTCACCTTATACTCGAGCGTGGAGTGTGGCACACCGTAGTACGAGCCGGCGCGATGCACTGACATCTCTCCGCGCTGCACCGCCTTCACTGCCTCCACGAGGCTGTCGCGATCGTAGTTCCTATACTTGCCACGCTTGGGTCGCGTGCCCTTGCCTCCAGTGGCTGGCTGCCCGTTGTTATTGGGAGTGGCTTTGGAGTTACCTGGCGCGGCGTAGCGCTGGTTATCAGGTGGCGTTTTAATGACTGAGACGTGTCTATCAGGTCCTCGTGGGTACATGAGGTCACTGGGTTGATGGTGAGGCCTATCTAAAGGTTGCTGGAACTTTTGGCTGATGCTTTTAGCGATGACGTCACTGAGAGACGTAAACAGGTGTTGTGTTGAGGGAGGGTCAGCAAACACGGAGGGTGGGAGCAGCAACTGCGAGGGCGCTTTCAGTGATGGTTGAGCAGTAGGGAGCATCGGTGTTATCGGAGTGATGGGCGCTTGTATTTGTCCAGCTGGGGATGAACTTTTGTCATCTGGTGGGGGGAATGTTGGTATTTTGAGGATGACTGAAGGAGGCGAGTCAGGACGCTCGGCATCGCTGTCATTATCTGAGTCGACTTGATCGACGGGAGTGCCGAACTTGTTGAGTTTGTTGCGCAGGGTGGAGCGCGGGATGCCATAGATGAGGGCAGCTCGCCGCGTGCCCAGCCGGCCGGACTGGATGTCACGCACGGCAGACTGGAGCTCGTCCTCGGTGTACGCGCGGCGACCCGAGCTATTGCTGGCGCCGTCGAGAGCGGGGCGCTTCAATCTGCAACAATATCAACCTCATATCAGCAGACTATTACGAAACAAAGTCAAGAACGGAACTTGTAACACTTAATCATTTCACAGTACAGATTAAAAACTTGAATGCAGATAATTCGACTGAATAAAGTGCATTGGCCTTTCAACAAGTGTGAACGTACTTTTAGCTCGATAAACTCTTCTACATAGATATCACTCTCACTGAAATATTATAAGAAATTAAAGAACCATTCCCAGAGTTAGAACAATATTTTCATAAATACATTTTCTTCCCGAAAGGATGCGAAATAATGTAGACGCTATTCTGAATATGCAACGGGATAAATCAATAAATTTTGCATACTGAGCGAAGGAGATAAAAAAGAGAAAGAGAAGGGAGCGTCCATGTTCCTTCGAAAGTGAATTTATTCGTCGGACATGCAGAGTACATGACAGATGACGTGCGTAGTGAGTCACAAATGGGTTGCGGTGGTCAACGGCCCACAATCGTCTAAATTCAATATTTCAAAACCGTACGACGCCCGTTTTAATCCAAGATAACGCGAAATGCGAAATATTTACTCTCAGTCTCGCCGATAACGGCCCACTATGAATGCATCTTTATCATATTCCCTACGGTAACACATGAAACAAAATTCAACTTTACTGCCTTTTAATAGAGTGTAAAATTTATTGGTTGCAGCTGTCGTCTTCGGTTTCATCTTGAATTGTGCTTTCTTATTTTTCGAGTAGGTTTGTAGTTGAGTTTGAGTTGTGTTGTGAGGTTGGTAGGGTGTGTTTTGGCTTGGCTTGTCTTCGAGGATGCAAGGTCGATGCTCGAGCAGTCTATCGATGCATTTTTATTTGTTTTGGCGAGTCATGCGACCCAGATCGCAGTCCCAGAGAATGAATTTATTCAGTTATCGATTTGGTATTGTGTATAATATCAGTTCCTTCGTGCTCCGTTTTTATATGAATATATCGAGAGGCAATTATGAGTTTAATAACTTTGTTGAAGAGGGGAAATTAGCGAGGTCGTTAGCACTGAGACGATTGTGTTGTTCATCACACTTTCTTTGTATAAAACTGAAGATTGATACAATTTGCATAAAGTCTAAAGCAGAGATATGAAAATTGACTATTTTTGCAGGTAAACAGTAAACATCCTTTAGCTATATTGCTACTTTTCTAGAACATGTCTTACATGCCTTTTTCATCGAAGCTTTTTATTTTGTATCGAAAACGATGGTAGAATTATAGGTCCTGAGTTTGACTGTGGGGCATACGTTAGTTATGACCCGCTTGATCTATTTTAAAATAAAAATGCAACAATAAACCAGTTTTAAATATTCACATCACGTAATAACAATTGAACGAACTAAAGCTCTTCAATGTCACATCAATTATTAGTAATTTTCCTTCATGATTGCGAACTAATTCTCCAAAGTACTCCTTCTTTCCTTTAAAATATTTAATTTTAAAACAAAAGCGTATGATTTTGAACAGGTGCATACAAGAGTACACACTTTGATAAAATCTGAGTGAAAAACCAGTATTACCGGTCCTGACCGCTAGATGGCGGTGGCTGCCGCTGCTATGGTTTGTTATAGTTTATTTTCATGTGATGCTTGACGTTACATATGGAATGTTTTCTACATTTTATCTGTTTTGTAAAGAATTGTGGGATATTTAGATCTTGTGTGTGGAATTATGAAATGGTCTTTTGAGTGTTAGGTAAAGTAAATGAAGTTTTGATGAAGGAAGTTCTAATTGTTTAAATAAATAGAAAATGCGAAGGATTTTAGAAAATTGATCTATCGGTATGATATATTAGATAGGTAGCTTTGCATAAAACATGTTCTAATTTGCGAAAACAGGATAACTACTAACATGATCAAATATGGCGCAACAATTAAATCAACATACATCTTATCAATCCAAAGACAAATTCGAAAAACAAACATTAAAAAAGAAAAACAAAAGAACGTTACACAAAAACACGACATTATTTTACCGCGCAAAAAAAAAAACAAGGAACTATAAACACTGGACGAGTTATCATAAAAAGTAAAGAATTTCAATTTCATCACGCATGATTCTAGTAAATAATAAAAGTCTTTGAACGTAGGTTACGTAGGGCTTGCGATAAACTTGGTCCGCCTTTCGCAACGTTCCAGTTTACACAGAGCGTTGACATTGGCTGCAGATATGCGTTCCTTGACTTTGACGGCTGTCAATCGTTGAGCTATTTTTAAAAAGGGAATGTTTTAAGGCCTACTTTTGTCTATGATTGTAAGGGTATTGAATGACGTAATGTGATTAATTTTTATTTTATCGGTTAACTCGTCGAGTACCGTATTTATAGACACAATTAAAGAACAATAGGTTGCGGTCACCGGTGACCGCTTGGTGTTTGACAGTTTAAGCTAGTCTAGAGATCTTTGGCTTTAAGGAATTGGGTCAACAATTTTGATTTTTAGTATAATATTCATATTGATTTAAATGCAAGAGACACTGTGGTAGAATAAAGGCTATTTTTACTTTATATTTATTACAGGTACTGATTTCAATTGATTTAATTTATGTAATATATTCGTTATGCATTTGTACAACTTCTGGAAGTTCGTTCTTTATACGCTGTCATTTAAGCTTCTCAATTTGCTCGCCCCAATCATGTCTGACAATTTTCTTTGAATTACTCAGGTACTTCTGATTGGTTTTCCATCTATATTTTGTAATATATCAACAGTGGATGATTGGCAAGTAAGATATTGCCACTTTAAAGTATTTTATCTTCCTGTGATTCATTAAAAAAATACCTTTATCAAACTGCTTATTTCGTTTACAAGTTTGTTTGTCTAAATAACTTTTCATTCATTGCGCGTACTTCTAACGAAACTAAGTCTCGACAGCGTCAGATATCATCCATCAAAATAATAGAACACGACCCAGAAACAATAAACAACTAACAAATTAACAATGACATATTATTTTTAATGAACATTGTCGTGATAAAATGGCGTCAAATGACATCTGCGGACATGATGGCGTTAGCTGTCAAAAGTTCACTGACCTCAGTCGATCGTTCAAAGTTTCGTGTTTTAATGGGTGCGTTCACGTTTCTATTGTTTGTGTTATTCAAGTAGGTTTCAATAGGAAGTGCGATTATTTCGCGTCCGTTGCGAATGTGTCGATCGTGTTATGACCAATGGTGCTGTGGCGGTAGCGTGAAGAATTGTTAATGCTATACGACGCTATAAAATGCTAGGTAAGCTTTTTAGAACGATTTTTAGTTTTTAAGCCGTGTTTGTGGAAAATTGTGCTGTCGCGATCAAGTGGCGGGGTGGTCTCGGTACTATCAAGTCTTGGAATTTATTGATGGTACCTACACATATGTACTCTAAAGAAAATAGAAGTTTTTCCTCTTTATTCAGGCAGAATCCATAATCTTGAGACACCCATAAATAAAGAAATTAAGGGTACATCATTATAACGTAAAGGTGTTCGTTCTTATAAGCGTAAGTAAAGATACTGAAACCTAATTGTTCTACGAAGATCTAACTTAATAACAAAATCTAATAGTTTGGGATTTAGGAACAATATTTCTGACACCTAGTTGCTATGTGCTAGGAATCATAATTTACTAGGAGTCGGACTAACTCGTCTGCCCATACCGACAAAAATAACATTTTATTTTAATGTGCAGTATAATGTCTTCAAGCAAGACCTTAAGTATTGATTTAGAACAAAAAGAGAGGAGCTAATCAGATCCTTATCCTACACAAAATAGAGTAAAAAATTCAACTCCAGACATTAATCTATTTAAGCTCGCTCATTCGTTTTACCGATACCTCGAGGAAAAGGAAAAAAGATGGTTTTATTTTCATTTCCTTTCCTTTAAAACATTTTATTTCCTTTCACCTTATTGATGGGATGGGTAGAAATGTAGGATTGTTGTGCCTTGTCGAAGTATTTGTGAGTTTGGTAATTTAATTAACGGTTTATCAGTTTCAAGATAAGTAGAGAGATGTACAAGCGCAAATTCTAAAGCGCAGTAAGCCTGAGGTACTTCTTGCTGATGTGTCTATCCTAAGCTCGATGTTAATATCGGAATTCTGTGACATAGTCTTGATAGAGATTTGGCAATACGTAGCGTTGGGTATAAGTAAGACAAATAATAATAATAAACAAGAATAGATAGATTGAAGCATCCATACTCAACTTATGCCTTCGGGCATAATGAGACATAAACTTAATAACCTATAATAAAATATCATGCAAAAACAACCATTTAATGAACTAAACTAACAATAAATAGAAGCCATATCCAGCACATTTCAATATCAACAATACCAAATGACAATCACCGTTTGAAAAGTAAACAACAATACGTTTTTGTAACGGTCAAATAAAATAAGGTTGTGTACACATGCACGACTAAACGCACATTAGCATTAAATTAAGGCCAACGACTAATGTTTAATCCAATTTAGCGCGTTTACCTAGATTAAAGTGATAAAAGCCTTAGCTAATCGGTCACTTTGATGGCTACAATTAGTTTTTATGTTACTCCTAGCTTAGTCGTATTTATGTAGTCGGTCGTTTGGTCAAGGAATTGTGCAACACATGTAGGATACAGGATGTGTGTTAAAATAAAAAATGTGTTACAATTATCTATATGTATGGTCATTATCTACACTTTTTTATTTTTTTATAAGGGGGGAAATTCATCGAATGACTTCTCCCGCTCTTACTGACTAAAAACCAACCCGTTCCTACTCCTGCACTTCGAGCCGGAGCCCCGGTAACCCGTTAGGTTCTCCGCGGCTCCGTATCGGCATCAGCCCTATTGGGCCCCATCCGTGGTCGTTTAATGGCTCTTTGAGGCGCGCGCGGAGCATTATCTACACTTGAAAGGGTGTTGTAAAATTGTGATGGACTTTTATCATTATCATATATTAACCTCAAGACATCCACTATTAAAATACCCGTCCGTTAGAATGGAAAACACAACCAAGTTTACCCCCAATGTTATAATGTTACAATATTTCTAGTTTTTAGACAATGCCTTCCAATAAATACATCATAGGCTGGTTAGAAGCGGACTGACGTCAGATGATGATTAAAAAAATTGTACCGAAAATACTGATATCTAAAACACGTATTTTGTTATCAGTTACTTGATCCTGTTTACGAAAACGCTAGACAAAAATATTTTGTTTCATAAATAAATTGGACAAATATTTGTCCATTTTTTGCGTCTATTTTTAATTCGGTTAGACTTTACACAAATGAGTATAAAAATATCAAGTGTGACCAAAATAAAATGTTATCCACATTTTATTTTGGTTACATTTGATATTTTTTTTTTGCTAGCACGTGTGTCATTGGCTAAGGACACTTGTCCAGAGACAATCTATCTTGAGTTGTATGTGTCCAAGGAGACTGTCAGACGTAATAAGAGTAAGGTTAGGGTTTTTGTGGATTAATACCTCTGTATATATAAGTTTCATTTCTATGTAATGAGAGTTGAGCTTAAGAACATTTTCAAACTTGGCGCTACTAGCAAAATTGTCGTAGTTATTACCTACTTTGTCAACTCTAGATCTCTTTCTATCACATCACATAATTAATCGGAAGATTGACAGTTTTTTTTAAACGAGTTTATTTAAACATGTATTCGAACTCTTTCAGCTCAGCAAACGTACTAGTGACGTCTCAGGATAACGTTAATAATATCAATTTTTTTGAATCAACCATTTTAAGCCACAAAAATGTCAAAAAATTTCATTTACCTGATATCCAAGTGCTTGTTATCAGGTGGAGGAGTTCCACTTGTGCTGGAGGTGGACTTGGCACTCAGATCGAGTGGCTGCTCAGCAAGGTTGGGGGATGAAGACGCCGGCGCCTTCTCACCCACCTCTGGAGGCCTGTAGGGGAAAATATTTGTTAGTGATTGGTTTAAACATGACAAAAGGATACGAATCCGACTTCAAAACATAAATACAGCTTGTTCTTTGTATAGGAGGTTTAGAAATCTTAGAAATGTCTATGAGTTAGTCTATTTGTCACTAAAGTCAAAGTCAAAGTCAAAATCATTTATTTCAATTAGGCCAGAATGGCACTTTTGAACGGCAACAAAAAAAAAATTAAAAGTGAAGCTATTTGCTCGTTCCAAGGTGTAGATTCCTATGGAGAAGAACGAGCAAGAAGCTTCATAGGTTACTCTTTTTCAATCAGGTTCACAATACAATTTACTAGTTACATAGTTTGCTGTTTGGATTGTGCGAGAACAATGTAACACTAAAATCCAGTCAAAGTGATCACTATTTGCTCCAGTTTCCATTGATGGTAACATTTAGTCGGTTCGAGAGGATGCCTAGAGAGGGTTGTGTTGTATCTTATCCTTAAATATTTTGTTTTAATTAATATCAAAACAATAACCGCCTCTAAGCAACAACCAACATGGAAAAAATGATACATCGTCTAAAAATCTACACCAAAGATGATTATGAACAAAAAATAATAATATTGTAAGCGATGGCTGTGTTGGAGTTATAACGAAGTATCAAATTAAATATTATTTAAAATTGCTTTCAAATAGAGTGGACTGCCCCGTTTCTGCAGTGCATCTGGCATGTTCTTTCAAGCACACGTTGATGACTTCCATGGCCATCATCAGACAGAAGTCTGCATCGCTGCCCTGCAGGGTGCGGGCCAGTTCCAACTCCATCTTTAAAACCATTGCAGGGAGGTACGATTCGCCTATAATACATGGTATTGTGCGAAGATGTATTCCCAACAGTAGGCTTGTAACAAAATAGGTACTATTATAGGTTTTAAGATTTTAAAATTTCCTTACTAACCCCTATAGATGTATCACTTGTCCGAAATAAACATTATTTTATTTTATTTTGTATTTTAATTAAAAATAAATAACCGTTGAAAATAATATAAGAAAAAAATACCTTAACGCGTTAAAAATAAAGTCGTAATAATTAAAACAAAAGTCATAAGGTCGCCACAGCATATTGGAGAAAATTTTCAAATTGATTCCAAAAAAAAACTAAACACTACACACAAAAAAAACCGTTAATATTTTAAATTATTTTTAAACTTTATGTTGACACAATTTTAAACACTGCACTGCATAAGATTCGATCCTTATTGTAATATTTTTATTCGTGTTCGCGGACTTTTAATGAAGAATTTTAAAGGGCTATTCTGAAACTATTGCTTATCTTGTAGATAAAAATGGGTGAGTGTACTATCACTCATAAAAAATATTGTTGCAACAATATTATCAGTTTTCGATCTTGTTTACCAAAACACTAGACTATAATGTTTATTTACTACACATAATCTTAATTTTGGCAAATATTTGTGCATTATTTTGCGTCTATATTGTAAAGGTACGTCATACTTTAGGTACACGAAAATAAGTTAATTCCTTTGATAAAATATTATACGCATATTCGGATATGCGCATGTTAGCTAACCTATATTTTTTCATGTTGTTTCAAATAGATTTTGATTGATTATTGATTTATTATTTTTGTATAATGATCAGATTGTTTTTGGTTTTTGGCTATGTTGCCTCACACTAGGATTTTGTCCTGTGTTGTAGGAGCGTTTACAAACATACAAGTTCATATACACAATGACACTCAGACCAGAAACAACAATTTTTGTATCATACAAATAGTTGCTCCGTGCGGGAATCGAACCGACTAAATGCCGTGCAGTCATCATCAGATTTGCGACAAATTTAGCAGACTTAGTTCAATTGATATAAAATGTATCTAAATTCTATCTTCTATTAATAATCAAATTTTACACACGTAAAATGAATTCAATTAAATTCCTCAAATTTTCACTAAATAACTAATAATGGGTATCATGTAAGTAAAGTATAACTGGGTTTTTGAAAATACTCAGTAGTATCACGGAGTCTGGAAATGTGCCCGGTATATGGCAATAGGCTCACCCCCTATTACATGGGACTTATAACATAAATAGTGGAAGTGAATGTTACATTGTATAGTGGCATTAAGTGCCGTAATGTGCACCTCTGTCTACACCTTCGGGGATAAAAGGTGATGTTATGTATGTATATATGTATGTAAGTAAAGTTTGTATAAAAAATAATCTTAATAATTCATTAATCAAATTTTGATATCTGTTATGCAATCGTATATCTTTATAGTTTACGCAATGTTTTGTTTTGACTTGCACTTATTATTTTTATCAATATACAGACTGATAAGCTTAAAAACTTGTATCAACATGTTTTATATACTGTACAGTATTGTCTCATGCCTGTCTGACTTTCACGATATCCAGACATCTACATCATAGATAGACCCATTGTTACATTACATAATATCACGCCTTTTATCCCTGAAGGGGTAAGCAGAGGTGCACATAACGGCACTTAAATTTCGCGAATTCGCAACGCAGAAAATTACATAGGCCACGGTAACCGCTTACCATCAGGTGGGCCGTGTGCTTTTTTGCCACCGTCGTGGTATAAAAAAAAAATACGATGCAAATTGTTGCGATGCGATTTCGTGCGACAAGGCGTCTCCCAGGGTGACCATTCCTTCGACGACCGTCAACCGTACTAAACGTATTTTAAATTGAAAACTAGGTCGTGACAAGAATGACGTAAAAAGAAGTGTGCACTTCTGTTATTGCTTAGGAGATACAGGGAAAACAAAGAAGATTTTGGGCACATAAGATTTTGATGCGCGATGTGAATCAATTCGCAAGTTCTTGCGATGTGTAGAGGGAGCTCGCACAAGTTTGTGTACGAGACCTTAGTAACCTTATAAATGAGAGTATTTTTAAAAAACGAATATTTATTTTTAATTTATAGGCTGTTCCATAAAATTAAAACAAAATCGTTATTGGCTCCGTTTCGTTGTTCTCAGGTACCTATATATTCTAGATTTTTTATTATTCGGATGCCATTTTTATTATCACAGAATAACCCTTTAGTCTATAACATACAGCTATTATTTTTAATAAATAATATACAACAATGTATGCAAGTGAAAACGCATTCGTAAGAATGTCATTTACTCAGCTGTATAAAAGTACATAATTATATGCAAAATGTGAGCTTTTGTTTGTTCAATTTACATAATTTTAATAAAACTCCTATGCATGTCAGTGTACACACATGAAGTTACACAAACCAGCATAAGTTGAAAGTTGATTGTGTGGAGAGATCGTATAAAGTGAGACCAAGTTAAATTGGTTTTGTATAACTTGATGTGTCCTGCGTAGTCGTGTACTGTACACACAATAAATTATTCTTAATATTTCACGCTGGATTTTAGGTTATTGACTGGCTTTTTTGAAAAACACGTTTTTGTTTAATGGAAAATTTAATGTAGTTAGCGTAGGTCTGGGTCTGTGTTGTTTGCTTTTATAGGAATGTTGTTAAATAAACATACCTAATAAGTGTGTAGTACATGTATGTGTGCGTATGTAAAACTGAATTGCGTTAAATGATTCAATGTTAAATAAAATATTGGGGTAAAATATGTGGTGATTTTAATATAATTATGTTTTTGATTTAAAAAGAAATGTCAGTAGTAGTACGGAGTCTGGAATTGTGCCCGGTATATGGCAATAGGCTCACCGCCTATTACATGGGACTCATAACATAAATAGTGAAAAGTGGGTGTTACATTGTACAGTGGCACTAAGTGCTGTAACGTGCACCACTGCCTACCTCTTTGGGGATAAAAGGCGTGATATTGTGTTATGTACACAAATATAATAAATAAACTAGACACCGACTGCAGCGCCATCTGCCGGGCTGATTTGTGAATCTAAAGCATCCAGGGCGCCACTACAGAAAAAATTATTTAAATCGGTCAATTTGTTTAGGAGGAGTTCAATGACATACACACGTACAGCAGAATTATATATATAAAGACTAGCTACTTCCGCGCGGTTTCATTCGCTCTGCTCGGCGCCTATTAATCATAGCGTGACATTTATAGCCTGTAGCCTTCCTCGATAAATGGACTATCCAACACAAAAAGAATTTTTCAAATCAGACTAGTAGTTTCGGAGATTAGCGCGGTCAAACAAACAAACAAAAAAACAAACTTTTTAGCTTTATAGTATTAGTATAGATAGGTATTACGTTACTATGAATAGACTAATATGTGCGTAGTGTTTTAGGGTCAATGCCTATAATAATATAACGATAGTTTTGAAGTTATCGATCATTTAATAAGATAAAGGGAGCCAAAGTCATGCCAATGTCAGTTTGTAATTGCTGAAACTATATCTGCTTATGCACGTAGCTTCCTAAACTAGCGCTGATACCGATTCGGAGTCGCGGAGAACCTAACTGGTTACCGGGGCTCCGGCTCGAAGCGCAGGAGAAGGAACGGGGTGGTTTTTAGTCAGTAAGAGTCTGACACTCCCTCCCACCTCACCCAGGCGGGAGCAGTCATTCGATGATTAACCCCCTTAAAAAAAGCTAGAATTTTCTTCAGAAATAAGTGTGCTATTTGACTCGAAAATATGATGACGTCATGCGATATTTTTTGGTACAAAATTCATAGAATAATATTGTTGTAACTTTCATGAGACATACTGAATAAATTATTATGTTTTCGGCTTACTCACGTAATAATTTGAGTAGCATGGCTTGAAACTAGTCAAGTTCCTCGTCAAATTATTACGTGGGTAAGCCGAAAACATAATAGTAATATCGTTTTTGACGTTTCAATCATCATCATCATCAACAGCCTATAAATGCCCACTGCTGAGCAAAGCCTCTTCTCACACAGAGAAGGTTAGAGCATTAATCACCACGCTTGCTCAGTGCGGGTTGGCGATTTCAAACTTATAATTAGAAATTATAAGTCCAGGTTTCCTCACGATGTTTTTCCTTCACCGTTTG